ATCAAAATCCAGTTTTTTCCTCCCTTGTAATGAATGACGATGACTGTTGTTTGCACTGCTGCAGAAGTGTGATTGTGCCTTTCTCCATTGGGGCAACTACAAAGCAGGCATATCTACTGGTGCCACAGTCTGATTGTTTTCTGCTCATTGGATCACTGTAGCAATTTGAGTTTTGGAAGCATGCTTGATAAGTTCCAGCCTGAAGAAAAGACAGAAGGTCATAGCATCTGGCAAGGCAAGCTTTTAGTTTCATTTGGTTGGGAAGCTGGCCAGCTTGCTCAAAGTCCAAAACATTATCTCCTTGTCTCCACCTGCCCTGCTCTTGGCACCAGGAAACATATAGAAAGCAACTGGGTGCAATGGGATAGATGAGTTGGTGTGTCATGTATTGCAAATTGTTCACTTGATTCTCTGGATTGTTGTCCGAATCCTTATGTTATAAGTAGGTGTTGGCATTTTCAGTGTGCCAGTGCCAAAGGAACGGTTTTCTTTGACCTTGTGAGAAACATACAAAATTCCCATGCCATCACAATGATGCTTTCCTGCTGTAATCTGTTTCGAAGACATTTGCCAATCTGTTTGACATAGAGATTGCTGTATAGAGATTGTTCCATTCTTTGGAGGACTATCTAGTCTGAGTCCAGTTCAAAAATAAAGAAACATAAGTGGGCCAGAAGCATCCTTGAATCCACCTGTTATCAGCTAACAACTGGATGAAGGACTGAGCTGGCACAGAGGTCACCAGGCCACAGATGTCTCTAGGGTGAGAGTTATTGTGATTTTCTTTATAATAAATTATTTCCAAAGTTGCACCAATATACATAAACCAGCCCATGTAAATTTTATGCAAATCAGCGTTCTTTCCCTTGGTGATGTGGAAAAATAGGACGTCTCTATTTGGAAGTGGCAAATTCAGCACTGAATGAGTCCTTTGGTACTGTTACCTATGATTGTTTGAATGTGCTTTACTTGAATTCTAGGCTACAAGTGGAATGTTGGTTTCTTGACCCTTGCCCTTTTTGATCCATTAGTCTTCCAGTAGTGGAAGGCAAGTCAGCCCTATATGAAGGAGATGCTATTGCTGCTTCTTCCAGGGTGGGTTATGTGTTCCTGTCTCAAAAGGAGCAATCAGGCATTGCCTACTGGAAGAAAAAGCCTTTAGACCCATCTGACTTTACCAACTGCAGACCAAACTCCAATGTTTATCAGTTGTGAACTTTATGGGATTTTTTAAATTGAAAGGACAATAGAGAATGCTTTTATATGAACAAACAAATTGCATTTCCCCCTTTTTTGAACAAGGTACTGAAAACATTGGATGCATCTACACTGTAGAATTAATGCAGTTTCACACTCCATTAATTGCCATGGCTCAATGCTATGGGGGTTGTAGTGTGGTATGATTTCATCATTATTTGGCAAAGAAGGCAAAAAACTTTGTAAAACTGCAGCTCCTATGATTCCATAGCCTCAAGCCATGGCATTTAAAGTGGTGTGAAACTGCATTAATTCTACAGTGTAAATGCACCCAATGTCAGCTGGAGAAATCCTGGCATATTTGATTAGATTTATTTTAGTCTGGATTTTAGGGCAAAGAAGAATGAATTGCTGTGGGTGACAACCAAGAGAGAGAAAGAGAAAGAGAGAGCCCCACCTATACTGACCCTTTAATGTAGTTCAAATCTTGATTCAAACCCCCCCATGAAAGCACTCAAAAGAAAGATGTTAATGTGCACAAGTGTGTAATCACCATCTGAGCCTCAAATTGCTTCCAGGATTTCCTATGTAATCATCTGCACAGGGAAAACACTTTCTTCAATACTCGTTTGAAACTCCATTAAACAATCAGTGTAGAATACTTCCTTGTTTTGTGTTGGCTTTTAGTATTATTGATCATGGGCCATCAGCTTTGTGATAGCTCTACTCCTCTTCAGGGAGCAAACTGTGGGGCAAAATTATGCCATCCTTTCAGAATTGTCCTATGAGGTTCTGCAGGTTCAATTTTGTTTTGACATATGGAAATGCTGGTGGGAGATGGCATTTTTTCAGTAATATGGAGTGAATGTCATCACAATGCTGATAACTTTCTGCTCCGCACCTTGGTTTATGTGTGAGAGTGTGTCAAAGTGAGGTGATTGCTTCTCTGAACAGGTAATTAAAATCAATACTAGGTTGTATGATTGGGGATAAACTTAAGGGAGGAGCCCCTGGTAGCACTGAGCTGCTGAACTTGCTGACCAAAAGGCTGGTGGTTCAAATCCGGGGAGCCAGCTTCTGCCAACCTAGCACTTCAAAAACATGAAAATGTGAGTAGATCAATAGGTACAGCTTCGTTGGGAAGGTAATGGCACTCCATGCAGTCATGCCGGCCACATGACCTTGGAGATGTCTACGGATAACGGCGGCTTTTGGCTTAGAAATGGAGATGAGCACCACTCCTTAGAATTGGACTCAACTAGATTTAATGTCAGGGGAAACCTTTACCTTTACCTTTATACTTAGGATTGGACGAAGACAATGGGGATTGGGGACTCAGTGGATGTCTGGCTGGTGAGGGAAATTCCTCTCCAAATCCAGATGGATGTCATTTTTCACCCTTCAGTTCGTTTAGATCTAAACTGTCACTTTCGCTTAATCACAGTTCATTATCCTTTGTGTCACTTGCAGCATCCAGTGGAAGACCATTCAATCTCCTTGTAATCATGTGTTTCCCAATCCATCATTTTTTCATGTGGAGGGCTTTCCCACAACAACTTTAGTTCTTCTCCGACCCCATGTGCCCTAGTGACGTTTGGGATACTACCTTCCTTTTTCCTTCAACTGGGAAAACATAGTGGATGGTGGAAGATACGCAAAATCAAAAGTAGGACAATTGTTATGTAAAAGCCACAGACACTCCACATGAAAAAGAGACGCTGCTGCACTTCTTGCAGATGGTCCCAGAGAGCCCTCTGGGAGAGGAGCATCAAGGCACTGAGAACAGCCAAGACTAAAACTGGGCAGTAAAGGGCAAACAAGGTCCCACGGCAAGGATTGTGCTGGCATGAAAAACAATTAGAGTGTAAACTTGGAAGAATGCAGGGGAAATATGTGACAAGATGCTGTGCCTCCCTGAAGGAGGATTATCTAAACAGTGCATACTAGTTACTCAGATGGGTATCCATAGAAAATGGTAGGATATCCCAAATTCAACCTCTTGGTGCCTCTGGAGAGAAGAAACACAAAGAATTAGGGTCAGGACTCTCAAAGGCGTATAGGGTGAAAAGAGGTTGGCAAATCATTACCAAAAAAAGCAGCTTGTTTTGTAGTATTGGAAATTTAAATGTGAAAAGAAGTGATAAGGAGGAGATTGGAAGGAGTGTCCCACAACCATCACACACACATACACACAGCACATAAATAAACCAATGGATAGGTTTATTGTGGTATACAGATCACAGTGTAGCAGGCGGATGATCCATTACCCACATCAAACCCACCAATGTTGGTTTTTTTTTCATGTCAGGAGCGACTTGAGAAACTGCAAGTGGCTTCTGGTGTGAAAGAATTGGCTGTCTGCTAGGACGTTGCCCAGGGGACGCCCAGATGTTTGATGTTTTACCATCCTTTTGGGAGGCTTCTCTCATGTCTCCCCACACAGGAAGCTGGAGCTGACAGACGGAGCTCAGCCTGTTCTCCCCGGATTTGAACCGCTGACCTGTTGGTCAGCAGTCCTGCTGGCACAAGGGTTTAACTCATTGCACCACCAGGGGCTCAATGGGCTGAAAATAGAAAATATCCCAGGACAGTTTGGAAGAAGATGCATTGATGCCTGCATCGCCTCAAGGCAAACCCCAATGCCTTAGTCCCAATAAGCAATAGTCCCAGAGAGCAAATCAGCCAAGACAGTTTTTGCCACACATTCTCACACAATGGCTTGTGGTTGCTCCTGTGGCCAACATTGCTCCTTGATTCTTGGACAGTGTGGTTGTTTTATCCCATTGCTTGAGGGACTGTTGTCATGCATGCCCTGTGAATATTCACGTTTTTCCACAGATTTAAATCAATTGTACTATGGCCTTGATTTATGCTTGTGAATGCTTTTGTTAAAAGGTGGTCTGGGAAATTATTTCTTCCCACAATTTTCATGTTTATTTGTAGTTAATTATAACAAAGTGGTATCAATTCATTATATTATACAATATTCAGGTGGGGAAACCTTTTGGTATTCTCAAATTAAATGTTCATTAAAGAATGAAACTTCAGGAGAATATGATGTGGGGAAAATGTTACAAAGCATATGACATTTAAAAAAAAACAATGTTGGGGAATTAATGCATCCATAAATAAATAACGTGTGGGTGGATTAAAAAAAATGGAAACACGAGGAACATACAAGCTCAGTGGGTGGAGGAAGAGCAGGAGATGCGGCAGATCTGATGAAATCAAAGATACTGATTTCATCAAGATACTGAGATAAATCGCTAAATACAGTTGGTTCTTTGCAGGTTTGATTTTCAGGACCTGATTATTCATGAATTTGATTAAAATGGTCTCTCTAGGAATCACTAGGCCAGTGGTTCTCAACCTTTGGGTCCCCAGGTGTTTGGCCCACAATTCCCAGACATCCCATCCAGTTTACCAGCTGTTAGGATTTCTGGGAGTTTAAGGCCAAAACATCTGGGGACCCACAGGTTGAGAACCACTGCTCTAGGTCTTCCAGTCTGACAGAAGTTGGCCAGAGAGTCATGGTGGAGGTCCAAGGAATTCCTAAAGAGTTATTCCCTTGGGTTTTTTAAATTTGTGGATTTTACTTTTGTAGGGGTCCTGTGGCTCTATCACAATGTCATGGTGGGCTGACTGTACACAAACATAGACAAAAGAGCATATGGCTGGTTTCAAAGGGATTGTAACACTGATCCTGAATAAATGACTGAATGCAGAATATATTCTGAACCCAGAATAAATGATTGAAGTCTTGGAGTAGAGCGAACTTTTACCCGATTCTCCTTCATTATCAGCAGCCACATCCTCCCATCTCCAGCACAGATGAAGAATTGCAATTACAGATAGCACTTAGCCTGAGCAAAGAGGAGCATGAGAAGGTATCCCGAAGCCTTGGTGGCAAAAGGCGCTTTCTCTTTCCCTTCTTCTTGAATTCTCCTCTCCCTCAATGGAGCACCTTTTTGGCCTAGCTTTGCATCCTCCTTCTGAGATAATAATGCTCTGCCTGAAAGGGTCTAGAAATTCTGCAGATCTCTAAGTTTTCCATAGGTCTTGGATACTGTTGGGATCCTCAAAATATTGATATTTCAAAATTTGCATTTCTAGTCCTTTTGGTTATAAATGTAATCTTATATCAGAACTCATTTCAAAGACTTAAAAACCCAAGGCTGGATCTGAGGTTTTTCTGTTTCTCTGAGTAACAATATTCTTAAACTCTGAAATGTGCCAAACTGAAGCATGGACAACCAGACCAATGATGTAAAATCAATGTAGGCAAATGTCCATAATTGTTAACTCAAATTCTAAGCATATTGGCCTGAAAGTAAACCCTCAGAGGGAATTAATCCCAAGAAACTGTGCGTAACATTACAATGGACCTTTGGTTTGAGGGCTTTTAGATGAGAAAATTCTAGACTCCTTTCCTTGCCTTCATCTACAACTATTGCTGTTTTCTTCTGCTTTCTGGTTCTTTTCTGGCTCATAAGTTTAACTTTCACTGTTCTAAAGACTAACTATTCCTAACAGAGTAATTAACATGGGGTTACACAACCCTCTTTGAAAAACTGCAATTGTGGTTGCCATGTACACATGGCGTTCCCTAAATGATAATCATGGCCAATGTACAATACTTTTTCATTTTTCTTATATTGTCCTCAACCTAGATGAGGTACACTTACTATTATTATTATTTTTGATTGCAGGAAGTGAGGGCCTGGCAAGGAGAAAATTCTCTATTGCAGAGGGCACTGGAAGAGAGCAACTTGGGTGCCGAGGAAGAAGAGGAAGAAGAGAAGACAAAGAAAAGTCAGGTATATAGCCCCAGTCAATCTATTATCTGGAGGCAGACATCAGACCTGTTCCAAAACATTTTGCTGCCTGAGATGGAGGCCAAGATAGGATGCGTCTCCATTCCACATTCAGAAATTGAGTGGTCTGATATGTGACTCCAGGAGTCTGCAAATGTGTATTGTTGCCTCTGCAGCCCCTTCCGACATTTCCTTGAAGTATCTGTGTTGGGTTCTGCTTGAGATGGAATATTACAGATTGCTTAACGAGCTTAAGTCCTCCCCACTCAATGCTGGCAACTTTTGCTTGCATGCTCACAGACTGGATGTATGGTTGGCACATGTAACCTAAGACATGGTGTTCTATCACTATCTTTGTGAAGCTTCTAAGCCCAGATCTATGACTGCTTCTGGATGAGACGCTTAAAAATATATTTACCAGAAAACACTAAAAAATTGACTCGCTAATATTTTCGGTGATACCATGAAGACAGGAGAAGAATTATCCAGACAATTGGCCTTCTACAATTGAAAGGAAAATCTCAGTTTCTTCATCTGTGATTGTTTTAGGTTTCAATATGCCAAGATACTTGTAAACATTTTTTGCACATGTGCTCTGCTACCGATATCAGAATGGCTTTTTTGGCATATTGGTTGTCTTTTCTGGCTTGTAACCGTATGGGAGCAACAAGTACCTCACAGGCCATTCTCAGGCTTGGAGTACAACTAGGAGCAGTGAAGAGTATTTGGCCATCCAGCTGTTGGCGGATCCCAGTCCCCTTAAGTTTAAGTGAGCATGGTGAATGTTGGTACTTTGTGCTTTTCCTACATAGCAGGGAGTTGGACTAGATGGACCATGTGGTCTCTTCCAACTCTTTTATTCTGTGATTCTGCTAATGGGAGCTGTACCCCAAAACTTCTCAAAGGTAATAGCTGCTTCATTCCTGTGGCATAGCACCAAAACATATGTAAAATGTTTCTTCCTCAAAATCTGGGCCTTAAATAAAAAGTCAGAGTATTAGGTCAAGTGAAAAAAATACTCTGGGTTTTGAGGGCTTTAAAATGGCTTTTTAACCTGTCATGGTCAACAGTCTTGCCCTGTGCCTAACCAATCCTGCTTGGGGATCTGTGATGTCCCGACACATTTTCTGCCTTTGTATCTTTCTAGTCTTCTGTGTTAGAGCTGGCGGACATTTTTGGACCAGGACCAGCCTCCTCTACCCACACATCTGCTGACCCATGGGATATTCCAGGTGGGGGCACCCCTCGGTCCCTTGAGGTTTGGAATCATGACTCAGCCTTCTCTCCCCCACCTCTGCCCTTGTCCAGTTCTTGGGAGCATAACAGTAAGGAGCTGCTCTTTCCTTTCTCTCTTCTGAAAATTTCTCCCATTTCATTCATGCTTTTGGCTGGCTTGGGCAAATGTTAAACTATTGCTTGTTGCTGCAGTATTTGAGCTAATTAATCAACTCAAGGCTTAGATATAATTATTATTATTATTTCATTCATTTATATACTGCTTTTCTCCCAATGATGGGACTTATAAGGTGACTGACAGCACATCTGAGACAATACAAGTTAAAAATAATACAAAAATTGGAATAAAAGTATAAATAAGATTTAAAACAACAAATAAACAATTTATAGGTTACACTAAAAATTAAAATGTGTTACAAACTATAAACACATTCTTAAAGTTGCTAGTTTCAATTAATAGAGAGCCATCAAATCAATTTCTGACTAGTGTCAATGCTTAGATCAAACCCCTTTATTCCACTATGATTAGAACTGGATTTACTGTACTTACGACTAGCAATTGCACTGAGGCTCCCGTGTTTAAAAGCCTTACAATTAATTTGATAAATCAGGTAACCGATTTTTAAAAAATGTACATTCTTTAATGTACAAGTACAAAAGTACTTATAAGTGCCTTATTAAGGAAGGACAAACGTACTGACGTGGAAACACCCATAGCTGAACAATGTTAGAACAATACAAGACCCCAAACATCATTGTATTATTGCTTGGTTGTAATTGGTTGTAGGATGCCATATTGGCAGAAGAGTCCTGTCCTTGCATGGATGAAATGGTTCTTCAGGAGTGGCACCCATTAGGTCAAATGGTGATTGCAGCATCTAAAAAATATCCTATATGAATGTATACAGATGTAATGTATAATCTGTATAATTAACTAATATGTCTTCAATGAGATAACATTTCCAAGCCCTCATTCAACCACCCTTCATTGCACAATGTATCTGCTCTTAAGTTTGCCCATCCCATAATCTGTTTTATTCTCTTGTCCCTACTTATGACATCTTCACTCTGCATTCCTGGTCTGTTTTGTTCAGGTGGCCAAGCCACTATGGAATCCACAGGAACATCTTGGGGGCCCACTGCAGACCCTTGGGCTCCTGTACCTTCAGGAGATCCTCCAAGCCAAGGAACATCTTCTACCAATCAGGCCTCTCCAGGACCTTGGGATCTTCCTCCCACTTCTGCGTCCTCCTCGGACCCCTGGGGGATGAAACCCCAGCCTTCAAGTGTCCCATCTTCAGACCCTTGGGGGAAGCCTTCACCACCTGTTCCAGTCTCTGCAGCCACTACTTCTGCTGCTGATCCCTGGGAAGGTGCTCTTGACACAGCAGGTCAGAAAATATTGTTTTAGCTTTTCTATTTAGGATAAATATTTTCTATTTAGGGTAGAGAATGACCAGTTTTCCCTTCTGTTTTTATAACTGGCATGCACAATTCCCTTTTGTTTTCCATGAGTCACGTAACATGCTGTTTATCTGCTCAGCTAGAGTGAGGATTAGCTGTTCTCAGGTACGTGCCTCAGCAGAAATCTAGGACATGTCTCCTTTATAAAACTTGATTACAAAGGAAAGATTTTCTCTCCCTCCTGTTCTGTCTGGGAGGGAAGAAAATGCCCTGTCCTGCCAATCTTCTGGTCTCTATGGAATGAGAATATGCTCTGGCGCCCTCATTCACTAAGGAGAGCTGCTGCAATTGTCTCTGAATTTTGGCAGGGACTTCAATGGCAGATGCTGAATTTCAGCAGTCACTGCAGTGTTTGAGCAGTGGAGGTGGTGTTGCAGCCTCCAGAAATGATGCAACTTGTGTCCTCAAAATATCAATTATTTTAACCAAATAAGTCTGCTCTTTGTGCACAGGAACTTGCAAAGGCAAGGGTAAAAGGGCAAGGTCTAGGCATGAGAACTAGAGAAGGAACTGGCCATTTCTATGTGAGATTGTGTGTGTATTTCTGTTTCTGTCTGGTGGCTACTTATTGGCTACTTGCATTTTAGAGCAACCTGAAAACAAGGGAGTTTCATGCACAACTTTATATACTAGGAGTAACAGCAGCAGCAGTGTGTGCATCTCTGTTGCTGTTACTCCTAGGTCTGGGCATTCAAGCAGTCCTCTCAAACTGGGTCAACAGAACAGGCACATATTTACCATGGCTTTTCTAGGACATCTGTCTCAAGGGAAGTACCAGCGGGAAATCCCTCTTTTAGGTTTCCATTGTGTTATATGAGTAGGAGAAGCATAGGGATCACTCACTACCATCACACAATGTTGTGCTGGTGGGTTTTGAAGTGCTAGCACTCACCATGCTGATCCCTAAAGCCTCACCCCCAATAAGTATCTGAAGATGCCCTTATCAAGGTTGTTGACCTCTATTGATAGAACAGTTATGACAGTTATCATCTTCATCAAGAGCAGTTCTTGCCCACTCAGGATTCAACCTCTTGTAAATTCTCTGCATTACAATGGAAGTAGCCGATTTATTGCTGCTAAGTGACCATGCCATTTCCACCCAACTATTGTGAGAGGTCCAGTCAAACTCAGAAGGAACAGGCGTTTTTGGTGTAAGTGGAGTGGTACCCATATTTCCATGAACAAAAATATCCTAAAGTTTCAACTCCACAAGCCCAGGCTCAACTACAGAGTTCTTTTTATTTTCCAAAGTTCATAAATCAGCAGTTGTGTAGGGAGGAGGTGAAAGAGGGAAAGGAGCTAGTGATTGAAGCATGCAATGTAACTGAGGCTCCTTTCACTTCTTTGCAGGCAGTGCTTCTTTGGATTTGTTTGCAAAACTACCAGAACAGACAGATCAACCAGATCATGATGGTTCTCAAGCACCATCCTCTGTGAAATCCAACAGCCCTATAGGTGAGTGAGGCCATGACATAGTTGTTTCCAGCCTCTCCATGTTTTGTAATAGCACCAATACCATCCAGCTTGGGGATGACAGGAGATGCAGGTTGAAATTATGGAAGAGACTCTGGTTAGGAAGCTCTGCTTCATTGTATCTGGGAGGCAGGGACAGTTATTTAAACAAAAAGTACAATTGCTTTCCTGTGATAAGTCTTTAACAGACATAATTTGCTTCCCATAATTTTGGCTGTTGCCCTAGAAATATGGTTTTTGCCAGGTCTGAACAACATTTTCTATTCTGGAAGTTGTGCACATTGCTTGATCTCATGCTCATGGGTGTTTGTGCTTCAAGAAGCCCATTGAATTACTTCAATTCCATAAAAATCTTAATCACTGATTTTTTTTCTTTTGTATTTGCAACGTTTCTTAAAGTTACAAGCTTTTTTTTTTTTGTCGTGTCAGGAGCAACCGCTCCTGTTGTGAGAGAATTGGCCGTCTGCAAGGACGTTGCCCAGGGGACGCCTGGATGATTTTTGATGTTTTATCATCCTTGTGGGAGGCTTCTCTCATGTCCCTGCATGAGGAGCTGGAGCTAATAGAGGGAGCTCTTCCTCCTCTCCCCGGATTTGAACCTGCAACCTGTCGGTCTTCAGTCCTGCCGGCACAGTGCTTTAACCCACTGCGCCACTGGGGGCTCCTATAGTTACAAGCTAATTTTAGAGAAATATTTTTGTAAGCTTTAACTAAAGATGCGGTACTAAAAATAAAAAAAAGTACATAACCAAGTACATAAAATCAGCAGTATCCATAAAAATGTGAGTCAAAGCATGGGACATTTCAGTCAGAAGATTAAAGACAACTCACCAATCTCTCTCTCTTTCTTTCTGTTTTTGCTAGACGTTGGCCTCTTTGATGACTTTATTCCAAGCACCAGGGAAAACGGAGTGAAGAATAAGGATGTTTTTGACATGGCTGGTTTAGCGGACTCTCTTCCTGATCCAAGGAAAGACAAGAAAGATAACAAAACTCCAGAGACTTTCCTTGGTCCAAATGCTTCTTCATTAGTTAATCTAGACTCTTTGGTCACAGTACCACAGAACATGAAGTCTCGCAACCCATTCCTGGCAGGTAAGTCCTATAGAGGATAAAAGATCCATGGCAGATTGAAGAATAGCCTACCCGAGGCTCACAGGTTTTTGCTTTACATGTGTCTTTGCCCAAACTTAACCTGCCACAGTTATGTTGTCTTCCATCTGTAAACCTCCACTCCCCTGTAAACTTTATTGCGCTCTAATTTCCTTACAATGGCCAGTCCTTATCAGAAAAATACCCACAGTGATAATATTTGCCATTTACTGAAGTACTGCTTGTATCCCCTTTTGATGCTGCAGTGGCTGCCAGAACTTCACCTCGTTAATCCAAATCCCATCACTATACATGGCAAAGTTCACACTCTCAAGAATGTAGATGAAGTAACCATAGTTTTTGTAATGCCTATAAGAGAGAATTTTGGTTACTGTACCATAAAATGTGTCATTTACTTATGCAGAGTTTGCATATGTTTGCATGCATACTACAGCCAACGCTTCTCCTTTGCCGTGGTTGGAGGTGCAGGGCTCCCATTGAAAGTAGAAAATGATGAATAAAACCATATTTTTTAAAAAACCTGAGAAACATCTATCGAGGAATCTCTAGGTCCTTCAGGTCCACTCTGTGGTCAGGCTCTGCCAGAAACTGACTATAGAGTTATCCTGGAGGACCTAGAGGTCTCTAGAAGATATTATGCAAGTCCCCAAAAGCCAAACCCACAAATGTGGAGAGCACATAGAGTCCAGGTGGAATCTGTGGTGATTATATTTTCCCCCTTCTTCCAGGTCTCAGCACACCTTCTCCCACCAACCCATTCAATGTCGTTGACCAGCCCAAACCAACTCTCAACCAGATGAGGACCAGCTCTCCAGTGCCTGGTGTTGCAATGGGAATGAGCATGAACTCCATGACCTACAGTGCTTCTCTTCCTCTTCCTCTCAGCAGCATCCCACCAGCAATGACCCTTCCAGCCTCTGTGAGCGCCTTTCCTCAGGCCGGGGCAGGGCCATTCCCAGAGCTACCCAACAACTTGCCTCAGCCTCTCCTCCCGCTATCTGGCTCAGTCCCACCACCACTCCCTTCCCAAGGCAGTATGAACCCTTTCCTCTGAGAAGACTGCATTAGGATCTCTCTAGTTCTTTTCCCTGCTGTTACGCAGAATCTACCACTCAAAGGCTTTGTGGCAGTTAAGTTTTGATGGGAGGAACCATCTCTTTGGAAACTCTTCTCCTAGTTTCTGCCCCAGCCAAACAGAGTCTGTTAGCATGAATCTCCTTCCTTGGTGGGCTACAAAAGGATCAGCTACTCCATCATTTTGAACATTGTCGAGTCTGCCTCAGATGGGCATTGTGATATTCCTTTCATCGGCTGGCCTTTGTTTTGATGACTCGAAAGGAGTGAGAAGTCCTTTAGAAGGAAGGGCTTCTATTTGTCCAGGGTCCATGTACTCCAGTACTTTAATACTGGATGGGCAGTGACAAAAAGCATTTCCAGACCAATAGCTTCTAGTACTGAGAAGGCATGGTGCATCTATTCCATATTGTCCTCTTTAATAGATTTATTTTTGCGTGTGTGATGAGAAAAAGATTGGTAAAGTAGTGGAAAATACAGGAGGATTACAAATGAGAGATGGTGTCATCGGCACATCTCTCTCATGTTTGCAGCAGGATAATTGCTCAATAAAAGCCTTGTCTGGAAGTACCCAAAGATAAAACAAAGAACTCAAGATTGTCCCTTCTGTGGGAAGTAAAATCATTTTGCAGCCTGCATGGAAAGCTCACAAATGTTTGCCAAGACTTGCAGCTATTTTACCTGCATGACAGGGCCACAGGCTCACTTTGGGAAATCAAGACTGCTCAGCATGCATAGCATTGCTAGTTACAAGAAGGGAAACCTACAGTTTTCTTTCCCTCACCCAGAGTCCTCTTTACTAAATTGTGCCATGGAGGGGAAAGGACCAATAGCTTGTTTTTATGAAACAAAGCTCATAAATGTGTGTGAAGGGGACAGATAAAAACTCAACTTTCATGATCTGAAACAAGAAAAAAAAGAAAAGAAAAACAAGTTCCATAAATGTTCTTTATGCCCCTCTTTTAGTCTGCTTGCAAAGTTTGGAGCTTGGTCAACAGTTTTGGAGATTTGGAGAGAGCAGAATGAAAACTGAAAAAAAATGGAAGGGGTATTAAAAAGACTGGACAATTTAAATAAATGCAGATACAGTGTGGGATTGATGGTAAAGCCAGTGGATCATGGAAAAGGATTGGAATCTGCACATTAGCCTCGGACTACCTGAATGCTAGAATTATTTGGCCAACTTCTTTTGGCTTCTGATTTTTATGTGGAAAAACAAAGCCCAAATGTATACAGAATAAAATAGACATGAGAAACACATGCCTTTCTGCAGCCCCCAAACGGAGATGCTCAGGATTCTGAAGATGCGGTCACTCCATTTCTGGACCCAAACATTCATTTTCTTGAAATCGGACATTTTAGCCTTCTTAGGTTTCTGCTCACTTTGAATCCCAATGATTTTTCTTTGGACAATTTGTTGTTCATCTGGAGAAACCAGTTTTCTCCTTTCCCGCCACCTTGGATGGTCTCTGCATTATATGGTTGAACATGGACTGTGCTGCTATCCCCAGTGCCTACCTCTCAAGCTGTGGAGCTCTGTGGAACAAGGGAACGACTGTAATGCAGCTGCTGTAAAGGGAGCAAGTCCTGCACTCCCACAACACTTGAATTAACTTTGTGATGCTCAGCCAAAATTTCTGGGCAGCTTTAATGGAGAAAAATTATGAAGGACCGTGGTTTGAATATAAGTTCAAGAACCCATACACAGGAGTGTTGTCACTGGATTCAATTGACCTGGTGCATTTTGCTGCCACTCAGACATACTTTTACAGACTCAAAAAGACATCAACTTATATTTTACCTTCCACTTCAGATGATCTTCAGCCCCCAATCCAGGACTGCCCTGGATATTCATAGATGACTTCAAAGAAATGAACTAGAAAGGCTGAGAAGAAATGTGTGCACAGGGAAAGTTACTACCCCAATTACCAGCTGTGTCTTAAAGGGAAGATTCCAATCAGCATGCCCATAAAAGTTGTACATTCAGGACAAGGTTGCTGTGGAGTATCGTTGCATCTGAAACAGACTAAAGGTGGGATGGAAAGAGTGATGTGGTTACGATCCTTAAGGCTTTACTGCCTCTGCTTAATGACTACTACTACTACCACCACCACCACAGCAATCACCAGACCAATACAGAACTATAATTGAACATGCGGTGGGAGTGGGTGGGAGCAGGTGGGATAAACAATAAATAAAACCTTAAAATGTGCTTAATGTTTCTCACTTCGTGATGAATTCCTTGCATTTATTAACCTATTTCCCTTCTATTTGGGCAAACCAAGTGGTAAGAGTGGGTAATACAGTGATGTTTGTGGACAGAGTCACCAAACTGCCATGAGTACCAACTGTGATGAGTGAGTCCCAACTGTCATGAACAACTTCCTCCTTCCCCTCCAGTGTATACTGGTCTTGTGCCTCTCTTGAAAGCTGTGTGATCCCATACAATTTGTGATCCCATGCAGTTCAGAGTTAAAACAAAGTTACTATGCTTTGCAGAAGGAATCAAGGAGATACATTACTATGAATGAGCAGTCACTATAGCACCAAGTCATGAATAAAATGTGCGTGTGACACAACTTGGTGAAGCCAATTTGGAGTCATGCAATGTTCCCTGACATTACACTCTGGATTAAACTATCTATAGCGTGCAGCTGAGATACATTTTCTCATTTCTACCTAAATATGTGTGGTTCTGACCTGGATTAGGACCACAATGTGCTGTGGAAAGGACTTAGCTTTATGGAGACTTATCCCACTGAAAGACTTTCCAGGCAAGATTTGTCAAAAGGGAGGGTGTTTGCATTTTTCTGAGATTGAGAATGTGTGCTTGTCCAAGATCACAAATGTGTTTCATGGCTGAGCAGGAATGTGAACCCTGGTCTTCAGAGGCCTAGTCCAACACTCTTTGCTGGCTGGGTCACCATAAGTGATAGCTGATTTATGGGCAGTTAAAAATAACAGCTTCAAATGAGATAGTCCCAACCTGGGGTGGTTCTTGTTGACATCTTAGAGCTGAAGTAAGTGACACAATTGCACTCATTCCAAGGTGGGCTTCCTTAGCAGGCAGTTGATGTAACTCACTCACTACCTCTATTTCCAGATGTTATAGAGTTAGAAGAGGCGGGCTCAACCTGCTCTCCCTGGATTCAAACCATTGACCTGTCTGTCATCAGTACTGCTGGCACAACGGTTTAACCCATTGTGCCACCGGAGGCTAAATAGAATCGTGTTTTCAATTATATGGAAGTTGAAAGATTCTGAATTCATTTTTATTAATTGAATTCTGTTGTGGCCATCATTACTGCTTGTGTATGCATCTTTGGAAAAAGGACTGGACAGGTCAAATGAGCATCCTTGTTAAAACACAGTGTGAATGGTAGATACATCTGTGCAGGAGCCAGCACACTGAAATCCTTTGATTTAAACCCTGTCTTTAAAACAGACTGATCTCTTTAGCTTGGTACAATGACAAAGGATGTTGCGTCACAGGGGCCCTTTAACAGTACAGGGGGAAAACTATATTCAATCAGCTGGAAACAATGTCAAAACAATGGTTTGATGAAGTAGAGTCCTATAACCTAACACTGGCCTTCCTCATAGCCAAGGTCCTTCTATTTGGCTTATTCCAAAATCTTAACATTCATTTTAAATTTCCTCAACGTGGCATTGAATCTGAATCATTTTATTGTTTTCTACTCAGTGGGAAAGAGAGGAATGATAATGGAGCAATCTGAAATTCTTGACCCTTGATTGCTTTGTCTTTGTGCCCTTCACTGGTTGTGGGTGGAGGAGCTTTCAATAATTATTTAATTTTTTTTCTTTTATACAAAATAGAAATATATCTAAACTAAAATGAAAAGAAATAAAAGAAAGAATTACATTGTAGAAACCTTTTCCTGCAAGAACAGTGGTTGACTGACACAGTGAAGACATCTGCCCTTGCGCTATGCTACTCTGCTGCTGCGTATGCATGCCCAGTGTGGAACACATTTCACCACGCTAAAACTCTTAATGAGACAAGCCGCATTATCACGGGGTGTCTGCGCCCTACACCACTGGAGAAATTACACTGTATAGCCGGTATTGCACCACCAGACATCTGCCGGGAGTAGCAGCCAATAGTGAAAGGACCAAGGCAGTGACATCTCCAGCTCATCCCTTGTTTGGGTATCAGCCAGCACATCAATGACTGAAATCAAGAAATAGTTTTCTAAGATCTACAAAGACACTCGCTGGAACACCCCAGCAAGCGAGAGTCCAAAAGTGGCAGGCTCAAACCCAGAACCTCAATCAGTGGCTCCCCCCTGGGCACACAGAAGACTGGGCGACTTGGAAGGCGCTGAACAGACTGCGCTCTGGCACTACGAGATGCAGAGCCAATCTTAAGAAATGGGGGTACAAAATGGAATCTAAGACATGCGAGTGTGGAGAAGAGCAAACCACAGACCACCTGGTGCAATGTAACCTGAGCCCTGCTACATGCACAATGGAGGACCTTCTTGTGGCAACACCAGAGGCACTCCCAAGTGGCCAGATACTGCTCAAAGGACATTTAATCAACTACCAAGTTTGCAAACTTTGTGTTTTGTCTGTTTGTTTGTTTGTTTATTTTGTTAAAAATGTAATACAACTGTCTGGTTCCTCCTGACATGATAAATAAATAATGGTTGACTTTAAAGGAGAATTAACGAGTTATTCAAAAGGCAGGTGATTACACTATTCAACTGTAGTCCTGCTACTGTGCTCAATAGGAGATAATGTTTTAGTAGCACTTTGGTTGCCTAAAGTGGGCTCGCCAAGCATTGCAAATGCATTTATTGGAAAGCATCTCCCTGGTGGTGCAGCAGGTCAAACTGCTGAGTTGCTGAACTTACTGACCAAAAGGTTGGCAGTTCAGATCTGGGGAGCGGTGTGAGCTTCTGCGGTTAGGCCCAGCTTCTGCAAACCTAGCAGTTTGAAAACATGCAAATGTGATTAGATCAATAGATACTGCCTTGGCAGGAAGGAAACGGTGCTCCATGCAGTTATGCTGGCATATGACCTTGGAGGTGTTTACCGACAATGCCGGTTCTTCATCTGAGAAATGGAGATGAGCTTGAGTCTAGTCATGTCCGACCTCGAGTCAAGCATGACTAGATGCATGACTAGATTTAATGTCAAGGGAAACCTTTACCTTAATTATCTCCTTGGCTCCTGCCACAAAGCATACCTGTAAAAACTGGAAAATGATAGGGCAGCAAAGCTTCTGTGACACCTATAATTTGGCAACAATTTGATTTCTCTATAAAATATGACAGGGAAGGATGGCAATTTCAGATTAAATTCTTGGTGCAGAAGCAATCAAATATGGTCATATTGTATATTCTAGGAGTGTTAAACATAAAGACACATGCATTATTAGACTTTTAGAGATTCCTACTGTAGCCAAGAGGCAACAACAGTTTTAACTGTGCCTCACAAAAATGACTCAATTTCTGGTATCATAGAAATATGACGCATACTCGGTTACTGAATATATGCATTACAAGGTTTCACAAACTAATTCTAACTCAATTAGACAGGGAATGTAAAACTAAAAATGGAAATTATTATTGCAGCCCTTTTTAAGTTGTGCTCTCAAATCTAACTTGAGTTTCAGAATGAACTTCACTTGTTTTCAGTCTAGGTTATAATCTTGTGGTCCACGAAACCATTACTCAAGGGCCACAGAGGTTGGAGAGATCACTTCAAGCTTGAATTGAAGGATCCATTGTTGGGCCCAGATCACTCCCAGTGACTCTGGAGGATTCTGGGGTGATGCTCTCTCCTCCAGTGGTGGAACTTTGACCTTGGAGGAGATTCCTGGGAAGGAAGAAAAAGACCTAGATTTCTGAGATCCAAAGGCCTTTCAGCTCCCAATCACAGTTTGAATATCATCCTCAGAGTATCTCTAATTGCATTTAAGCTCTATGGAGGGAAGAGCAAGCTGGCAACATAAAAGGTTCTGCTGATATTTCTGCCCTGCTGACGAGAACCCATCAGGATCCACTAGTAATTCACTTTGAACAAAATGGAATTATTGATATTGGAGTGGTCTTCCACCTACCAGTCCACTGTCAGGCTTGTTCTCTTGATAGCTATTAGAAGTGGAAGTGATCGAAAATGTGTTTTAGCAGATGAAGAATTATGGATTCTGTTGCTGGGTTTCTGCTAGACAGAGATTTCAGCCGCTATCATCCATTGGTATTTTATACTCCTACCTTAATTCTACTATTAATCTATTTTTGGACAACCCAATTAAAATGATTTCTAACCAACCAGCAAGGTCTTAGCTGAAGATAAGAGAGAAAGCACTTCTGATTGGCTCTGGCTGCTGAATATTTTCATGTTTTCTATGGAATATTGTTTTAATCGATTTCTTCATCAGTTTTCAGCTTTCCATAGGGTTATCATAATCTAGCACAAGATATGCCTGTATGTGTCAGCATATTCGCAACACAATAGAAAAAAGGTCTTATCGTGTTTGCTTTGGGGGCATAAGACACAATGTTAAAGTTAATTGCTGTGTAAACGTTAATCAAGCCTTTTCCAGATAGGATCTTGGGGAATGAATACATTCTTCTCCATTGAAATTTGTGACATTCTGATGTCTCTATGTAAAAGCTTTTAACATCGTTGTTATATCAGAAGCACCATTCCTCCACAATATTGCAATCGATAACAGCTTGGCAAGAGGAAATTTTTGAATAATCACCTTTTCAACAGGATGTAGATCAGATTAATTTAGTTAGCTTTCCTTTTGTAGGATGTCGGCAACATATCTTCAGTTCTCAGCTTCAAGTGCTGACAAATTTAAATTTAGGTGCTGCTGACATCCAAGTCTGGTGAAATGGATCCTGTCTGACTTGGCAACCAACCATCCAATTTCAGTTTGTCTCATTTACGTGCTCGCAGTAAGTAAAACTGGACTGGACAGAATTCAGCCCCACAAGTTCACTGGTTTTGCTGGCTTTAAGAGGAGATTAGATACCTATAAATCCATTGGTTTAGGTTCTAACCTGTAGGGCAAGGCGGAACTAATTTGCTCCATCATCCATGTGACAGCCCTTCAGATATTTAAAGAGAGTCATCATATAACGTCTTAACTGCTCTTTGCACACAACATAGTCAGCTCCTCTGAAATGTCTGCATGGAACTAAATCTGTAAGTACCTCGCGATCTTTGCCGTGC